GTGAAAGAATATGTTTGTAATAAATAAAACCATGATGAAAATGCTTATATTTAGTTTCAAACACACGTGTGTGGCCTATATTATAAATAAGATAAGCCCTATGTCGTATTGTTTTTTTATATGGAGAGTGGGGTGGGGTGGGGTGGGTATGGTAAATTACTAACCGGGAAAATAAATACCCACTCTGACCCTGGTGTTGGCGCCAATGTGTGCCCTTGTGCGGACAGGGAATGTGCCCCCTCTGAAGCTGGAATTCTTGTTTTCGCAAAATAAATTGATGCAATTTGCTATTATATAGGCCTAATCAATAAATTCTTCATCAACCGATATAAACTTAAACATTCTTGGAATTGACATAACATTACTGATGTTGTACACACCCTTGAGTGTGAAATGTGGCTCTCTTTGCAAGCACATCTAACATCTAAGTAAAGAAGAGCTTAGATTAGTACCAGACAAAATAACTTTGTTATCAACATTAATACATTATGCTAATTTTCATCTTTGTAAGCGCATAAGACAGTGCAAATTATTTCTGTGACAGTCTTTTGAAGTGTGTAAAACTCCATTTTATCCCATACATAGTCAAAATATATTACGGGGGATGATACAATGGACCATCCCCCCTTGTCAAATATTGGGGGGATATAACCCCCATTTTCCCGGGATCTACGCCTATGGTCGTCAAACGGAAAAATCATTAAAAAAACAACGGGACCAACAATCCCTTACTATTATTTTTCCCTTGTAATAATCTTAGGTTTCACTATATACCGGTATTACTAGCGAGCAACGATACATGCAGTTTTGTTTGAACTTTTGCACGCACACGAACCGCAAAAAGGTGGAGCAAACAGTGCAATGAAAAAGCACTGCACGAAACTGTTTTGAACTGCATTTTATATTCCGACATTATTTGATTATTTAGAAATCGAAGCTAGCCCTAATTCGACCTCTTCGGGACAGACATGTGGCGGTAAGTTGCATTTATTATTTTTGAATTATTGCCGAATTTTCCGACTCAAAGTGTTTGTTCGATGTTTTTTATTAGAAGAAAAGAAATCATTTAAAATAAACGAAAGTGGAGAGAAAACTTCTTACAAATTATTTACCAATCTCCCATTGATTGTTCCCATTGTTGTGGCGTTTATTTCTACTAGTGAATTTCTTCCCAGATTCCTCCTTTTCCACTTCAATTTGTTTGAAAATTTTTAAAAAGGAGAAGACGGATACATTCAAATTTAAGTCTGTGTGTGCTATTATGCCTACCGGCCACTAAGCCCTTTCGCCACAACCATGGTGGGAAGTAGGCCTACGTGTACCCTTCTGATATTCCCGAGACTACAGTTCAGACACATTTTAAATACGTCATTGATTGTTACTTGTCTGTTTTTTTCAGACTGGTTTGCTTGTGATTTAACGTGCAATTTAAGGGAGTACAACAAAAGTGACGATTCTCCTCACTGTTGGTGTGACTGCCGAGCTCGTAAGCTTAACTTTTGATTACAATACTGTTAATGAATGGATTTATTTATTTGTTTATAAAGTCACTTTCTTTCATTTCAATTCAAATCCTATGCAAAAACATTAAATACACTATTTGAATAAAACTTAATTCTACATGAGAAGTGGCCAAATAATTTCAAAAGAATTAACACACGCAAGGGAATGGAAGATACATCAGAGGAAAGACGGCAGAAACAATTACACATTAACACGACATTTTGATTACATACGGTACTTAATATAAAATATAAAGTAAATAATAACGAAAGCATCAATGATGTAATAGCCCATTGAACAAAGTTTGAGCTTTGTCGGTGGTGGGAGCTGGTGTGGTTTGGTTGTGGGCTGTGTTGTTACATGCAATAAAAATTAAAACGTTTATCTAACGTGGCCGTTACAGAGTCATGCAGGTGTGTATGTTCGTATGCAGTATCATATTCGTGGCGCATTTTTTTCAATCAATTTATTTGATTCAATAGTTAGGAAAGGTAAATGTGTAATATTTGATTGATGTGTGGGTTCGTTGAATGCTAAAATGTGATGCTGTATAAGCAGTAGGAAAAATGTGGCTCTCATGAAGGTCGTCGTGTAGCCCATTTAAGAAGCAATTATTGTCTATAAAAAAATGAAAATTATTCATGATCACTAAAAGAAGACAGTGCAGAGGCGGATCTGGGTTCAAATTTAGGGTGGGGGTCAAAATGTTTCCAAAAAATAAAAAAAATAAAGGGGGTTCGTGGGGTCCTCACCCGGGAAAATTTTGATTCCCAGATGCCGGGTAATGAGCTCTTCAGACTTTTCAGGTGTCTTTTAATGACCTTTAAGTTCTTCAAAATTCAAGATTTCCTTTTTTGAAAACAATTCCATGAATCGATGAACCCCAAGGAGAAAGTAGGTCGGGCGTTCTCCCGGAAAAATTTTAATTTCTAGATGGCGGGATATGAGCTTTTCCTTTAATTTTCCCATTATAACAAAAACAATTTCAGCTCACGGGTCCTGAAAAGGTAGGACTATGATTTTTTTTTCTTTTTATGTTTTCTTTTTACACCTGTTCCACTGTACATGTCTTTTGTGATGAATAGAGTACTCAAAGTTCATTTCATTCTTACAGTTTGAAATACCTATAAAATAAAAAAATAAAAGCACAAAATGAATGAATGAATGAATGAATGGATGAATAAAAATTATTTGCAAAATCAGTTGGTTTGATTTTTGCAAAATGGAGATAAAACGAAAATTATATTAAGACTGTACGTCTGTGAGTATCATTTCCGGCCATCTAGAGGTGCATTAATCATAAATTGTCTTATTTCTTAATAAAAAAAAAAATTCCCCGACCGGGGATGGGGGAGGGGGAACTAGGCTTCTCCGACGGGGTAGACCCCTTGTCGGGGAGCTTGAACCTCTTGTCGGGTAATTTCTGGAGCCGCGCCTGTAATAGCCTTATATTTCACAATAATATATTACTAGCGAGCAGCGACACATGCAGTTTTTTTTTAAACTTTTGAACACGAACAACAAAAAGGTCGAGCAAACAGTGCACTAATGAAAAATTACTGCTCGAAACTATTTCGATACTGTATTGTAAATAACGTAATTACTTAATTATTTAGAAGGCGGAGCGGACTCTGATCCGGCCTTCTTGGAAGAGTTATGCGTTGGTAAGTTGCATATTATTTATTAGTTATTGCCTAATTTTCTTCTAAATTTGTGAAGGCCTATTCGATGTTTTTTTTTTTTTTTATTTAAGCCTGCATCTTCAGAAGAAAGGGAATTATTCACAAATTAACGAAAGTGGAGAGAGAAAAACTCCTCACTAATTATTTACCAATTTCCATTTTTGGACTGTTGAAGTACTTCCATTGTTGTGGTGTTTATTTCTACTATTGTTTGTTTCCTACCGGTATTTTTTCTGATTTCCGCCCAGCCCCCTCCCCCCAATTTGTTTTAAAAGTCTGTGACTGTTAGTAGGCCTACCGACCTTAAGCCTCTCCGCACCAACTAAGGTGTGGCTATGTGATTCATACCTTCCATTGTGTCTGGGGCGGATGCACGGGGCGGAGGTTGCAGATTTAAATTAAATTAAATTCAATTCAAAAAAGTTGTATTGTATTGTTGAAATATTATTTTTATCATTATGAACATAGTACAGAAAATATGTTTAAAATATGAGAATGCAATTTCCAGAGCACATTGAGGGCATTCAAAAGGTTCTCGCCTCAGCCCCAGGTGGGGCTTAAACCGTATGGACTTCCATGCACCCCTTACCGCCAAATTCTACATCCGCCTCAGTTGTGTAACTGTAAACCTTCCTCCTGTCTTTCGTATTTTTTAATCCACCACCGATGGCCCTCTTGTCCATCAACTCTATTCAAATTTGCATAGTACGAATCTATCGGTAATTTTCCGTCGATTTATAATCAGTTGGAACGGGTTATGGAAAAGAAGCCTGCTTCACAACTACACAACTATTCACATTCGTGAAGAAATCCAATCTTTTTAATCTTCACTTACCATCATTATGCAATTTAATTATTCTTCTTGCCAGCAAACCTTAAATGTAGGCCTACATATACGTACGCTTATGATATTCCCGAGTCTACAGTTCAGACACATTTTAAATACGTTACTGTTACTCGAATTTTTTAGACAAGACTTGTGATTCAACGTGCATTTCTTGGGCGTACACAAGTGACGGTTACTCACAATGTTGGTGTGACTGCAGATCTCGTAAGTTTGACTTTTGATTACAATATTCTTAATGAATGGCTAATCTATTTATTTATATTCACTTTCTTTCATTTCAATTCAAATATGCAAAAACATTAATACACTATATTTGAATAAAACATAATTTCATATGGAAAGTGGCTAAATAGTTTCGAAAGATTTAACAAACGCAAGGGAAGGGACGATACATAAAGACAGCAGAACAATTACACATTAAAAAGACTTTTAGATTACATAAGGTAAATATAAAAATATAAATAATAGTAACGAAAGAATCATTGATGTAATTGTCTACTAGACAAGGGCAAAGATTGAGTTTTGTCGGTGGAGAGAGCTGGTGTGGTTGTGGGTTCTGTTGTTACATGTATAAAACATTAAAACGTTTATTTAAGTAGACGTTACGAATTACACATTTTACTAGAGTCATCAGGTGTATATGTTCGTATGCAGCATCATTCATGACATTTTTTTCAATCAATACATTATATGTTGAATCAACAGTTAGGAAATTTAAATTCGTAATATTTATAATAGACAGATGTGTGGGTTTCTTAAATGTTAAAATATGAGTATATGAACGTCGAGATTACTGTCGATAAAAATACAAATTATTCATGACAACTAAAAGAAGACGGGTTGCATTTTATCTAGTTCAGTTATTTCTCTAGTTACGTAAAGTAAAAAATGCAGTCTTTAGATCATGTTTAATGATTTTTTTTACACCTGTTCCACTGTGCATGCCTTTTGTGATGAATAGAGTACGCTATTTGCAAAGTTCATTTCATCCTTGCAGTTTGAAATACCTATAAAATAAAAAGTAAAATAAAAAAAAATAAAAGCACAAAATGAATGAATGAATGAATACAAATTATTTGCAAAATCTGTTGGTTTGATTTTTGCAAAATGGAGAATAAACTTCTAGAGGTGCAATAATCATAAATTGTCTTATTTCTTAATAAAAAAAAATCCCCGACCGGGGATGGGGGAGGGGAACTAGGCTTCTTCGACGGGGTAGACCCCTTGTCGGGAAGCTTGAACCCCTTGTCTGGGAATTTCTGGCGCCGCGCCTGTTAATTCTTAATGTAAGAAAAGAATATCCTACTCTTTGTAATAGAAATCCCCAATGCAACGAACTTGCTCATTCTTTTTGTCATAGAATTATTGACTGTTGGAACTGCCTTCCTTTACACGTGCGTAATGGTAATTTTAATTTATTTAAGACATTTGTTAAGAAATCGTTCATATAATTTTCTTGTTTCACAATACGTTTTGCTGATGAGTGCTTGTGGATCTCAAACATTTATTGTACAGGAACTCCGTTCCTTTTAGTCTGCCCGCCTCCCCAGTCACCAGCAATCTGTATACTCTTTGTTTCAATGGATTATCTTTTTCTTTCAATTTTAATGTTTTAATTTTGTATTGTATATACATATATATTTTTATGGATGAAATAAATGTAATTTAAAAAAATAATAATAATAACCTTATATTTCACAATAATATATTACTAGCGAGCAGCGATACATGCAGTTTTGTTTAAACTTTTGAACACGAACAGCAAAAAGGTCGAGTAAACAGTGCACTAATGAAAAATCACTGCACGAAACTATTTGCATACTGTATTGTAAATATCGTAATTATTTAATTATTTAGAAAGCGGAGCGGAATCTTATCCGACCTTTTTGGAACAGTTATGCGTTGGTAAGTTGCATATTGTTTTTGAGTTATTGCCAAATTTTCTGCTTAATCTGTGTAGGCCTATTCGATGTTTTTTTTTTTTAATTTAAGCCTGCATCTTCAGAAGAAAGGGAATTTTTTAAAAATTAACGAAAGTGGAGAGCGAGAAACTCCTCACTAATTATTTACCAATTTCCATTTTTGGACTGTTGAATACTTCCATTGTTGTGGTGTTTATTTCTACTATTGCTTTTTTCCTACCGGTATTTTTTCTGATTTCCGCCCAGCCCCCCTAACCCCAATTCGTTTTAAACATCTGTGAGCGTTAGTAGGTCTACCGACCTTAAGCCTCTCCGCACCAACTAAGGTGTGGCTGATGTGATTCACACCTTCCATTATGGACATAGTACAGGTAAGATTTTTAAAGTATGAGAGTGCAATTTCCAGGACACCTTGAGGGCATTCAAAAGGTTCTCGCCTCAGGTGGGGCTTAAAATGTGTGGACTCTCACGCACCCCTTACCGCCAAATTCTACATTCGCCGCAGTTGTGTAAACCTTCCTCCTGTCTTTCGTATTTTTTGATCCACCACCGATGGCCCTCTTGTCCATAAACTCTATTGAAATTTACATAGTACGAATCTATCGGTAATTTTCCGTCGATTTACAATCAGTTGGAACGGGTTATGGAAAAGAAGCCTGCTTCAAATCTACACAACTATTCACATTCGTGAAGAAATCCAATCTTTTTAATCTTCACTTACCATTATCATCATTATGCAATTTAATTATTTTTCTTGCCAGCAAACCTTAAATGTAGGCCTACATATACGTACGCTTCTG